GAGCAGCCTTACCTCGCATCTTCAGTTACAGGGGGCACGTCTGTGTTTACAGAACCCTCAGGTTTCTGATTTTACATCATCTTCCTTTTATAACACATCTGCATTTAAGGAACCACAAGGCCAGTTTGTGTCCCTGAATGGCCACGCCACTCCACAAAAGGGAGACAGACCTACAAAATGTGTACGTCGCTGTCACAAGAAAGCCACGGGAAGAGGGGGGGCGGGAGGGAGGGGGGCAAACTGAGCCTTTTCTCCAGGATCTGGCCTCCGCAGGGAAGGGAGTCGGTGTCTACCTTCAGTCTTCAGCCAGCCGGGCAGCGTGGTGTTCTCAGAGGCGTGTGGAAAACTAGGCTCTCTTGTTGGAATCGTGCGTGAGATCAGTGCTCAGGCCTGTTGGCATCTCTGCCCAAGACAGCGTGGACCGCTGCCAGCCCAGGCCTGAACGTGGCCCTAGAGGCACCGCTGGAGCCCACGCGAGCCCCAAGACAGGTGTCCGGGGGTCTCTGCTCCCGGGACCCAGCCGGCAGCATTTCTTGGCTACAGGAGGGGTGCGTGGCTCCTGAGGGACTCCCCAGAGACTCTCAGGGCTCACCGGCCATTACCACGTGGTCCGTGCTGAGGGCAGTACCTCACTTTGCTAAGCCCGGCCTCCCAGATGCTCAAAGGGAAACAGAGGAGGCCGCCCTATGGGTTTGGGGCAAATCCGCCTGGGCGAGAGCGGAGAGAGTGGACGTGAGTCTAGAAGGTTCAGGGGCGGAGCTGTGCTTCTGCAGGCCAGCAGGAAGTCTTCTCCACTCTCCACTTGGGATGGGCCCGGGGGGCACGGCACGGGGCCAGCAGCCCAGAGAGAACTGGGTGGGTATCCCAGGGAGAACGCGCCGAAAGGAAGCCCGCTCAGGCAAGGTGCACCCAGCCCTGAGTCACCAGTCCCACGGGACTCCCATTTGGCCCCAGCAACCGGACTCCAGGCCACCAGAAGGCCTCGTGGGCTCCTGATTGTCTCTTAGGATGGCATTAAAAGGTCCAGAGCAGGCACTTGTAGGCCAGGCCATATTTAGCCTCGGATTCACCCATAGAATATTTTAGGTGCTGCTTGAAAGAAGAGATCCGGCCGGGTTGCCAGCTGTCACATGGCGAGTGTAGAATCGCGCCCTTGCAGGCCTGGCCCAGACGGCTGGGTGCTCACCAGCACAGATGCCCAGGGTCCCCGCCAGGGCTCCGGGGCCACGCGGCAGGTGCCAAGGAGACAGCGAGCGCCCAGGGAGCCGGTTCTGTGTCAGGAAGGCTTTGCGTCCCGTTTTCGTTCCGATGGTGATAAGGTGGCCTCCGTTGACAGAGCTCCGAGAGGCTGTTTTCAGCCCCTCTCTTGTCTCGATGGCCCAGTGTGATATGCCAGCCTGCTGTGAGAGCAGCCTTCTCCTCCTTGGGTGTCAGCCACTGCGGAGAGCTTAACCCTTTCAGGGTTAACCCTTTCAGCCAGGCGTGCTGGCTGGCATGGGGGGGGGGCGGCCCACCTGCAGAGACCTTGAAGGCCACAGGCCCCAGGGGAGCCACTGCCCTGGACTTCCCAGTCCTCAATCACTAGCGGCCAGACCTGAGAGGTGGCATCCCGGATCTTAGCAGGCATCCTCCCCTCCGTGTGCCCCATCAGTGATGACCAGCAGGCTCCCCTCCCCAAGCCTTCAACCTGCAGTTGGTTGGAAACAGCTGCTCCCTTCCCGCGTGTTTCCTCGCAGGTTCCCAAGTTGACCACCTTTCCCACAGTCCCCGCGAGGAGGTATCGACGGATCCGTGGTTTCCTTAGATCAGTAACGACAGCGGGGAGTAATCAACCATTCAGGGTCTTGGAGAGACGTCACGGGCGAGTCCTGGGAGTCACCTGCTGTCAGGGGACGAGCCTCATGACCCGCGCTGGGATTCCAGATCTTGGTTTTCCGGGCACAGAGGAGGCGCGTCGGTCTTGAAGCCGCCGCACACAGACACATGTAGCCAATTACCAGCCAATGATCGTCAGCCTTTGGGGGAGCCTGGGTGGAGCCGCCGCATACCGTGAAAGCTTCGGCTTGTTTAAAATTTGCTCTAACTTTGTACGTTTCTTCCTTTTTAGTTTTGGCTCTTGGTGCTCCGGGAGCCCCCACTTCCTGCCCAGCTGGTTCGTTACCGCAGGGAAAATGAGGGACTTTTGGGGGCAGATGTGTTTCTATTCCACTATCATAATGCCCCTAAAAATCCTTATTGCTCTTGCAGTATTCCTCGGGGCCCCTGGGCCGGCTGGGAAGACGGCAGCTCTGAGTTCCTCCAGCACCCAAAGGAAGAGAGAAAGATGCCCCCCCCCCATTCTCCCCAGACACCTCCTTCTCCACTCACAGCGCTCAGAACTGGTCACTGCCACGAGCGAGAAAAAGGCGCCACGCACAGACATTGGTTGCTAAACGTGCTTTTTGTCTCCACGGGCAGAGGGCTGGAAGTCAGACCCGGGAAAACAGGGCAGCCGTGGGGACTGTCGGCCTTGGCCTTTGCTCTGGGGGTTCCTGGCGGGGAGGTGGGGAAAGTGGAAAGGAAACAGGCATTACCTGTTTGACCAGGCGAATGAGGCGAAAATTTCACGTTCAGCCTGGCCCTGGGCCTCTGGGATCTTCACCTTGGCACGGGGCCCTGGCCGGTCCTGGCTTTCTCCCCAGCTCCCCGGGACACGTCACTTTCCCACTCTCTGCCTCGGTTTCCCCATCTGCCAAGGGAGGGCAACACCCCAGGATCTGGCCTCAAGGGGTTCTTGGTTGTACCCAGTGCTATGCGCTCAAGTGCAGTACAAGCCCCGAAGGTGCTTTGAAAATGGGGGAGTTGAGGCATTAACCATGGAAGGTGTTAGTACTAATATTTACTGAACACACGCCTTATATGCTGAGACGACCCAGACATGGAGGAGAGACCACAGCCCAACAGTGAGCACAGGTTTCTGGAATCAGCCTGCCTGCACTTTGTGACCCCCGCTGTGCCCCGCCCCCCCCCCCCCGCCACCCAGGCAAATGACTCAACCTCTCCGCACTGCCATTTCCTCCCACGTGAAACCCACCCCTCGGAATAGCGATCTCCCGAGTCTGATGCACAGATCTACTCAATAACTTCAAGGCAGCACCCGGCTAAGGATGTACGTTTCTCTCATAGGTATTTCTTTGTACAGCTCATTTCTATTTACAGCAAGCAGTTGGTTTGCAATTTGGGGCACGGGGAGAAGGGCCCTTTGTGGTACATGGTTGACTGAGCCTGGGGCAGAAATCAAGATGGAGCGGGGTGGGTTCCCAATTCAAATCTGGGGAGGGGTCCGCCTGTGACAGCCTGGATGTCACAGGTGTTCCCTTCTCGGGGGTGCCCGACCCCTTCCCTGCTCGCCAACACAGAGCCCTCCGCCCCTACACCCACGCGTCTCTCATCTTGGGGTCGTGACGACCCATGACCTCACCAGGGAACCTGTCAGCCTCAGTTTCTCGGCGACACGGGGACAATAATGAACCCTCTGTCCCAGATCAAGGAGTTCACAGGGCTCCATGGGGCAGCTACGATGGTTCACCAACAGCCCCATGAGACAGGCAGGGGCCACAGCAGTGCCTTCAGCCTGGAGAGACACTCCTTCGACAGGCCACCCCATGCCAGGCCTGGGCGCCAGCTCCCTGCCTCCCCCCGCACCCCGCGCTGGTGGCTTTACAGGGAAACAGCGGGCGCTCGGCCCCGGCCGGCAGGGGCGGACTCTGGTTTCACTTTCTGCTGTGTCATGGGGTGGGGGGTGGCATCGGGGCCCAGCTGGCCAGAGCACAGCCCACGCCCCTGCCCTGCAGGCTGCCAGGATGGGGGCTGGGCCCGCAGGCACCCCTTCTGTGCCTCTCTCCCGCTCAGGGGGGAGACCCCCAGGTGAGAAAAGCCAGGAGTGCCTTTAGGTGGGGATCTCCCCCAAACAAGCTCTTGAGCCACTCAGTCTGGAGGTTCTGAGAACTGCAGCTACTCATTCTGGGTCAGAGCGACCCGGCTGGACACGGGCTTCCTGCCTCCTGTCACTGGGCACGTGTCTATGGAGGGCCTACTGTGTGCCAAGCACAGTGCTGGGTCCCAGAGGCACAGCCGGGAGCCCGACAGCCCCTGTCCCCGTGGGGCTCCCAGCTGAGTTGGGAGGCACAGGTGGGAGAGTAAGCAAAGAAATTATCCCATATGGGGGGGGGGACGTTTCGCACTGTGTGCGTGGCAGCAGCATCTGAGAGGAGGGGCACGCGTACACGCGTGTGTACTCCGATGTGTGTATGTCAGTAATGTGCGGGCTCCTGGGACACAAAAGCAAGATTATGACCCGAGCCGAAGTCAGAAAATTGACTGCCCGAGCCACCCAGGTGCCCCTGATCCAGACCTATTTAAATGACACCTTCCAGGAAAGCAGGTCGTCGGTGGTGCGGGGCCAGCCCTGACGGCCCCTGAAGGGGGTGCGGATGTGCTTCTAGTTGCTCCCCTCCCCGTCCCAAACCCGTGTGCCAACACTCTGTAGCAGAGCGCCTTCAACAGCTTCTGGAGGGGAGCTCAGCCACGGCACAAATATTTAGAGACATGCGGGGGGCCTGGGTTCCTGAGCATCTGTTACTGGGGAAGACGCAGAGTTCAGTTGAAAAAAATGCTCAGGTTCTAGTTCTGGGCAGGTTCAAGTCCCAGCTGGGGACCAGGGGGCACCATTTCCTGGATTGTTAAATGAGAGGGTTTGGATGTGTGGATTAAAGGTCCTTTTTCCTCTGTTATTACAGGTCTTTTATACCCTCAAAGCTCAAATTATAAATATTACTAAGAAGCAAGGAATCATCTCAAAAGCCTTTTTAAAATGTTTTTGGTTTTTTTTTTTTTAATATTTATTTATTTTTGAGAGAGAGAGCGAGCAAGCGAACAGGGGAGGGTCAGAGAGGGAGACACAGAATCCGAAGCAGGCTCTGGGCTCCGAGCTGTCAGCACAGAGCCCGAGGCCAGGCTCAAAGTCACCAACCGTGAGATCACGACCTAAGCCCAAGTCCGACGCTTAACCGACGGAGCCACCCAGGCGCATCTCAAAAGCCTTTAAGATATTTATGACAATGATAAACATATGTTTTCGCCAACTGTTTTCACAGGCATTATCTCCACTGCTGCAGATAACCCTGTAAAGGAGGAGTTAGCAGCTTCCTTTTCTAAATAACATAACCACCCATGTATATGGGCTTTATATATACGAGGCACTTTACACATATGAAGTCATTTTAGTGTCCCAAGCAACACGAAAAGGAGGCACAACTGTCCGCAGCTTGCCAATGAGGAAATGCTTAGAGGAACTGACCTGTCCAAGGTCACACACCCAGCAGGTGATGAGCTGCGGTTCAAGCCTGGCTCTCCCATCCCCGGGACCCGCAAACTTTGTCTGTAAACGGCCAGACACTAAATATTTTCAGCTTTGCAGGCCTCGTGGTCTGTGTCCCAGCTACTCCACTCAGCCATTAGGACAAAAAAAAAAAAAACAGACACGGACGATACAGAACAGACATGCCTGGGTGTTCCAATAAAACTTTATTTACAAAAAACAGACATGAGCTGAATTTGGTCCACAGGCTGCGATCGGCCCGTGTCTGTTTCAGACTCGAAACCCGCCTTCGGGTTCGGCCCTGGCAACGTATCTTTCCCACTCTCTCTCCCTACCTGTGCCGCTACTAAGAGTTACGTTTTCGGTCAGAGACCCCTGGCTCTGGAGAGACTGAGTCGGCCTCTCGTTTCTTGAGGGAATCACAAAGCTCTTGGAATTTACAACTGCTAGGAATTATTAGTGACTGCCATAACAGAACACGGGGGGGGCGGCCTTTTAAAATTGTGATTTTTTAGTAGCTGTGACTGGGGAACTTTTGAAGAGGAAAGTGTTCGAGTTTTAGAAAGATACCTCAGCGGGGCACTGTGGCTGTGGAAGGAGCTTCTCCTCAGAGGAGATCGTTTTCTGAAGTCTGTACGACTGGGAAATAGAATGAAAAACATCTTAAGGCACGAGAAGGTGACTGAAAGGAAGACGGCCGCTCGTGCGTGCGCAGGGAGAGGGTGCAGGAGAGAGAGAGTTCCTTCTTATCACCCAAAAATTTAGCATCTGCCACCACCCCCACCCCCCCCCCCCCCGCCACCCCACCCCCGGCATCCTGAGCAATCACTCGTGTGCTTTCTTCTCCGTCGATGCGCCTGTTCTGGACATTTCCTATCAATCACACGCGGCGTGACGCTTTGCGACTGGCTTCTTTCGTTCAGCATCGCGCTCTCAAGGTCCGCCCACGCGGCAGCACGTGGCAGCACTTCCTTCCTTTTTTGTGGCCCAGCGCTGTCCACGTTTTATTCACCCACCTGCCAGCTGACGGGCATCTGGATCGTTCGTACGTTTTGGCCATCAGGGATAACGCAGCGTTCCACACGTGCGTGGGTGTGCCCTGTCGCGGTCACTTCTCTTCCGCGTTATACCTACAGGTGGCATTTTCCGGGTTATGTGGAAGATGCGTGGTTGGCCTTTTAAGGAGTATATACTCAAAGGACGGAAAATGCTGTTAGGAGCACCCCGGGCCCACCATCCAGGGCCACCCAGTGCCAACCTTCGCCAGTGCTGACTCATCTGCCTCCCGTCCTGCCCCCCACACCCCCGCCCCGTGACTCTCTGAAGAGTTCCAGAGCCAATTCCAGCAGTGACTTGAGGATGCTCCCTTGGCTGAGAGGTCGGCGCTTGTCTTTTGTCCCAGACCAACAGAGCCTCCTACACCCACATCCTTGCGCGGACGGAAGTGGGGAGAATGGGCGAACTGGGGCACGGTCCCGAGTGGGTCGACGTGGGAAAGGAAACAGCTCCTGAGAAAAGCAGGACTGGCTACAGAGTTGGCACAGGGAAAGTGTGGAGCCCTCGGTTCACAAAGTATTAAGGAGTTCAAGATGACAACATCGGAGCGTTAAAGCAAACATGGGCCTTGTGCAACCGTCCGTGTCACGTCCCCAGGAGGCCAGCGAAAAGGGTGCCCAGGCAGAACGAGTTCATCAGACACGGGAAGTTAGAGCCTTGGTGCCTAGGAGAGACCTAAGCACCCCTCACCTCCAAGGCTTGGGACGTTTCCAAGGAAAGTTGGGTCTCCCATGTGGGAGACAGTGGCACGTGGGACAGAGTTCAAGCCTATTCCATTGGAATCTCCAAAAATAAGATGACCCCAGTTGACTTGTGGGTTATAAGTACTTAAAAAAAAAAAGAATTAGCCACTGGCCTTAAGCCTTCCTCCCTAAGAGCCTGCGGTTGTTTTATTTAAGCCACGCCATTTTGTCCTGGACCCTGAGTGTCCCCTGATCTCACGGCAGGTGACGGGGCTTCAGGCTGAAGAACAGAGGCCCCCTGGTTAGCAAACAGTCCAGCGCAGCGGCAGGACCCGGGATGCCCTTTCGAGGCAGGTGGCCACGGCGGACACCGGCAACCAATCATGGCGCCCCAAACCCTCTCAGCTCCAAAGAGCTCCACCGACCAAATGAACCGGATTTCCCGCGCTCGCGTCTCAACCCAGGAACGTATCAGCTTTACTCAAGACCGCGAGAGACTCGAAGCCCCCAAGTGTGTGTTTGGATGATGCCCAGCGAGGCCCTCACGCCACCAGGGCCCTGTCACGGAGGGCATACGACACGGCTGGGAAGGGGGGCCAGGGGACGAGAGAGGGACTCCTTGAGGAAAGAACAGATAAGGACCTTGCACCTCCTCCGGGGGCATGTGCAATAAGTGAACGTTCACCCACGCACTCCGTTCTCCACCTACACCTTCACCTGTGGGTCAAGCAATGCCCCGCTCAACACAGGGGCGGACCTATAGGGGCAGGAGAGGCCATCGCAAACCAAAGGTGAAAAAAAAATTTTTTTTTTAATTTGATCAGAGTAACATAATGGCAGTAGCCAAAAAGAACTACGCCAGGTCTGAGTAAATCCCGCAGGCAGCTTTGGGGCTGGGGGACAGAGGAGTGGATCTCAAAGCGTCTGACCCAGGATTGAGGCAATTCTCGGCAGAGTCAAGGTAGAAGCAGCACAGCCAGCAGATGTCTCCGGAGGGGTTGGGTGCCTCTGGGTTTTTGTTGTTGTTGTTGTTGTTGTTGTTATTTGTGGGTCTTGTGTTTCGTGGGGGGTTTTTTGTTTTTTATTTTTTGTTTTTTGCAAGCACCTGCTTCCCGCCTTCTGCCAACAGACCGGACGCCATGTGCAAATATGGCCGAAGGTGGCCGTCACCCATCCTTCAGCTATAGTAATTGGGCCAAACACGGGCACGTGACCAAATATGGCCAATCACCGCCTCCCACTTCTGTGCCTGCCCACAAGCGGTCCGCGTGGGGTCATGGGACCCAAGCAAGGCCAGACAAGGCTCGTCCTACCTGGACCTGGAGGAAAAGCTGCCTCGTCCCCACTCTCTGGCGTCCAGAGATACCCGCGGTCTCAGAGACTGAGGTTAATAAGCTGCAAGAGGGAGACATGAGCGAGGGGGTGGGGTGGGGAGGACGGAAAGAGTCCGGCGCTAATTTCTGACCCCAGAGCCTGACGGGTCCCGGATCCGGGAGCAGCTCAGCGTTGCCCTCTTTCCATCACAGCTGTCAGAGTAGCGAATCCCCGATTCTACCTCAGATCAGTTCCGGTGTTTGTGCGGCCCAGAGCATCCCCACTCAAGACGTGGGGACTGTTCCCTTGGTGGATTGTGTGAAACCGACAGGGGTGGGTTATCCTCGGAACTCATTCCCCCCCCCCCCCCCCAAGGTGTGCCTGCTGTACTTGAGAATACGACAACCCCCAGGCACGTCTCGAGGCACCGCCGCAACGCACGTTAGTTTCCCACTGGATCAGAGCTGCGTCCTTGGACTTGAAGTCACACCCTTTTCCTGCTTGCCTCGGTCTCCCCAACCTCGCCTCCAACACACACCCATTTCTCCTCCCCACCCGGCCCTGCTCTCCGCCATGGGCCGGGCAGGCAGCTTATCCTGGCCAAGCTCCGATGCCTGCCATGTTGTTTGCGGTGATCTGTTTAGGGCTGTCCCCTCCCCCCACCTCTTGAGCCTGGGGGCCCTGGACATCTTTGGGCCCCCAGCTGCGGGCACACAGTAGGCAGGCAGCAAACGTGGGAGGAAGGGAGGTGGGGAAGGAAACTTGAGGGGAGAAAGGGCAGTTCATTCCTATTTGTTGTGGTCCAACCACTGGGTCACTGGCGGGGTCAAGTTCTGTGCTTCTTTCCTCTGCCGGATACTCTCCCTTCAGGTGGACACACAGCTCCTGCCCACATCGCCTTCAGGGCTCTACTCCAGTGTCACCTCCCCATGCCCCAGCCCCCTTCTGGACACTTGTCTTCCTTCCATGTTTTCTTGTTCTCCTTGGCCCCCTCCACCACCGCGGGTCTTTCTCTAGGTTCCATTTATCTTACATACTATCCCTCCCACCTCAGGGATGTGTACCGGCTCCAGGAGGTCAGGCATCTTTGTTCTCCGCTGTCCCCTCAGCACCTAGATCCGGGCCTGTCACCAAGGACATGCTCAAGAAATAACCGTGCTGTGAATGAACGAATCTTTTGTGTTCCCCCCAAACACACAGGCCAGCCAGTCTTTCTTTCTTTCTTTTTTTAAGTTTATTTATGTATTTTGAGAGAGAGAGAGAGAGAGAAAGAGAGAACATGAACAGGGGAGGCAGAGAGAGAGAGAGAGAGAATCCCAAGCAGGCTCTACACAGCCAGTGCAGAGCCCGACGCAGGGCTCGAACCCATGAACCCTGAAAGCATGACCAAAGCCGAAATCAAGAGTCAGACACTTAACCTACTGAGCCACCCAGGCGCCCCCAAACTTGTTTCTTAAAATACCTCTGTGCTTCCTTCATGCATTTTAGAGGTGTTAGAAAAGCAGGCGTGGTGTTAGTTCCCTAGGGCTGCCGTAACAAATGGCCACAAACCAAGAGGCTTACAGTGACAGAAATGGAGACTTTCACAGTCCTGGAGGCTAGGAGTCCAAAGTCTGGCAGGGTCACAGCCCCCGCCCCCCCCCACCCCCCGCCCCGGAGCTTCAGGGGAAAATCTGTACCTTGCCTCTCCCAGCTTCTGGTGGCTCCCATCGTCCTCGGCCGATGGCCCCATCATTCCAATCTCTGCCTCCGTCTTCATGCTTTCTAACTCTGTGTCTGTCTCCGCTGCTTTCTTTAAGGAGGCACATAGTACTCATCTGGATAATCCAGCATAAACTCATCTCCAGATCCTTGACTTAAACACCTCTTTTGCCACACAAGGTAATGTTCATAGGTTCCGGTGACTGGGAGGGTAGACGTATCTGGTATCTCTCTGGGACCCACCATGCAGCCCACCACAGATTATTTGCAATAAGAAGCCGGAGAAGCAAGGATCCCCACCACTACTCCATTGGCCTGCCAGAAATGTAAGGAAAGAGTATTACCCTTTTATATTGTTCCTGAGTGTGGACTTCATCTTATTCAGTTGTTTAATGTTTATTTTTGAGAGTGAGAAAGAGGGCAAGCAGCGGAGGGGCAGTGAGAGAGGAAGATGGAGAATCCGACGCAGGCTCCCCGCTCTGAGCTGTCCTCGCAGAGCCCGACGTGGGGCTCGAACTCACAAACTGCGAGATCATGACCTGAGCGCAAGTCTGACCCTTAACTGACGGAGCCACCCAGGCGCCCCTGGACATCGTTTTAAATACACTATGTTATGTCATTGCCCCAAATTGTAAAAATAACACCATGCTCATGGCAAGAAAAATAGTACAGAAGAGAAAAATGTGGGAAATGAAGGACCCCCTTGGCCATTTCTCTTTAATTTCCCTTTCTAAAAAGTAGCCACTGTATGCAGTTTGCATAATCTCCATACATTTGCAAAGCATGTTCAAGTACACTTTTTTTTTTTTTTTTTTTACTCATAACGTCAAGAGAGCCGGGGGCGTTCCAATGTATCTTGAAGACGTGACAGCCCAGACCCACCCCATTCTTTCTAATGACTTCTAGCATTGCACCATACGTCACCTGTCCCCTACCGGCCAGCATTTCACTTCACGGCAGGATTTCGCCATTATAACATACACTCTCTTTGGCACGGGTCTAAGTACACTCCTAGGATACATTCCTAGAAGCGAGATTTCTCAGTCCAGAGCATATGTGCATTTCTAATTCCGACAGCCGCTGTCCGGTGCCCATCCACAGCGCATGCGCGGGGTGCCTGTTTCCGCACCCTCACCCGCCCCATCAAGGGCACAGTCCGTCAGGGGAAGCAAGTCCCAAGTGAGGAACGCGGGCTTCCCACGTGGCCCCGGGTGAGGTGGACGTGGCCCCTGAGCTTTCGGGGATGATAACCTGTTCAGAGTTCTCATCAGCTTGGGTTTTATAAACAAAGGCAGAGTCTGGGGAGGGGAGCCAGAACCGTGCAGGGAGAAGCGTTGTGCAGCTCAGTATTTATTTCTTTAGTGCAGTTAGAACTTAAATATGGTCAAAACATATTCTTCTTTTAATTTACACAAACAAATATGTTCCCTGGCTGACACCTCCGGTGCCAAGTTTCTAGGAGAAATGAAATTCTGCTGTGAGATTATAAACCAACCACTTGGGAGAAGATGGGAACAGAAAAGCCCCTGCAAGTTTGCTTTTCACGTCCAGAACTGGCTGCTGAGAGGTGTCTCTTTCTGTGTTCGCTGCAGATAAGCCCGCCAGTAATTTTAGCGAATGAGCCGTGGCACACATAAAGGCCAGAGGATGGAAACGCTCCGGGTTTTGATAAAAAAGCAGTTCTGGCTCGGCTCGCCCCTGCTAGTCGCGCAAAGACCTATCCGGAGAAGGGCTGATGAATTGAGGAACAAGAAACGAGGCCAACGTGAGTCTCCTTTCCAGCGCTGTGCTAATATGAAACCAAACAACTTGAAATTGTTCCAAGAGGGGATTAAAGCAACATGCTATTTTGAGTGATTGCTTAATTTATTGAGCTGCGGCTAGATCTGTAATGAAATACAGCCCTTGCAACTGATAACGTCCTGCTGCAATTGAACTTCTACAATTAAGGAATATTTTCCAGGAGGTCCTGTGGAACCGCTTAGAACGTTTCGTCTCGGTGGCGGGGTGCTTCTGAGCGCTTTCACGGCAAGTTTGTTTCGTTTTGCTTTTTTAAAGAGCGACAGGCCGATGTTAACAAGGAAGAAAACGGGCATTTTACTGAATGCCTTGTGTGCACCGTGAGCTTAATATACGTGATCTCTAGGGGCGCCTGGGTGGCTTAGTCGATTAAGCGTCTGACTCCTGATCTCGGCTGAGGTCATGATCTCATGTTTTGTGAAACTGAGCCCCGTGTCGGGCTCTGCACTGACAGTGTGGAGCCTGCTTGAGATTCTCCCTCCTCCTCTCTGCCCCTCCCCTGCTCGCTGGCGTGCGCACGCGCTCTCTCTCAAAATAAATAAACATTTCTTTTTTTAAGTTTAAAAATCCACACATTCCCAGCCTGGGTTGCATCAGCAATTAGTTCAATGTGGCTCGCGGCTGCCACATTGGACAGCATCGAAAGAGACCATTCTGAGTACTGCAGAAAGTTCTGGTGGTGGGTGTTCTTCCCAAGATTCCAAGGGCAGAAGCTGGGAGTGCCACAGTTCAGACCCAAGCTTATGATCTTCGAAGGCAACACTATTCCATCATCGCCCCTGACTTCCTCCTTCTCTTCCTTTGGCCAAGGAGGGTGAGCTAAAGCAGTGATTTGAATCTTGGCTGCACGTTAAGATGGCTAGGTGTTTGAGCGTCTGACTCTTGATTTTGGCTCAGGTCATGGTTCCAGGGTCGTGAGATCGAGCCCCGTGTCGGGCTCCAAGCTGAGTGTGGATCCTGCTTGGGATTCTTTCTCTCTCTCTCTCTCTCTCTCTCTCTCTCTCTCTCTCTCTGCCCCTCCCCTGCTCTCTTTCTAAAAAATAAAAAAATATATTATTTTTTTAATTACCTGGACTGGTTTATGGATCAGAGGTTTCCAGCCCCAGGTATTCCGACTGAAATGTGACCGGGAGGGGTTTTTGTAAGTCTCCAAGCGATTCAAGTGTGCAGGCAGGACTGAAAGCAGCTAGGTGAGGGGATCCACACACAAGGGATGGTGGACGGAGCTGGTTCATCTCCCGTGAGAACGTGGCCCCTGGTGGACTTGGAAGTGGGCTCCCAGTCCAGAGCATCTAAACACCCTCCTCTAAACACCCTCCTCAAAGAGAGCTCGGGTTCATGTCTGAGGGGAAAGATTTCAGCGTCCTGCTCAAGGGGAGACCCAACAGAGATCTCCGCTTTTAGAAGCAGGCTCTGTCACACGTCATGAAAGAAAGGAGTGGTGAATGCAAGATCAGAGAGACAGAGTAAAAATCCTGTAGCCCCAGATTTGAATTGGAAGTGTCGGTATGGGGGCGCCTGGGGGGCTTAGTCAGTTAAGCGTCTGACCCTTGCTTTCAGCTCAGGTCACGATCTCGTGGTTTTGTGGGTTCGAGCCCTGCACTGGGCTTGGGCTTCTCTGCCTCTGCCTCTCTCTCTGCCCCTTCCCAACTTGTGCGCTTTCTCCCTCCCTCCCTCCCTCTCTCTTTCCTTTTCTCTCTCAAAATAAACATTAAAAAAAATTTTTTTTAAATAACGACCAGTTCAGTAGCTAGCAGCACTCCTGGCACCCACATTATGGTCTCTAAACACCACTTCTCGCCGGAGATCAGGGCTCTGTGGAAATATGGCCGACTGCAGGTGTGAGGCAGGAAGTGTGCACAATGAGCCTGGAAACATCCTGTCACCCAGATGGTGTGGAGCTGTCAGAGACTTCTGGGGTCGCGTCAGAAAGGATGCAGGGGACAGTGTGAAGAGGCTCCCACTGGCCACAGATGGGACCATTTGATATCAATAGGAATAGTAACTCCAACGGGTTAAAACATGCCATTTGCATCGAAATCTATGGGTTCACAAAGATACCTAGAAAAACAGCAGCTCCTTTGTCATCGTTGGAGGATACTGAGGAACTAACTCATTATTTTGAAAACTGTCAAATGAAGGGAAAGAAGCAAGCCCTTGTCATTTCTGGTATGAACGATATCTACCTGGCAGTAACCAGACGGTAGATAAGGGCAAGTTTCTCTTTATGGAAGTGTTCCAGCTAACGGGCGAAGACAGAAGGACAGAACTGGTATGCCAAAATCTTATAAGGTCCAGTCGACCCGGACCGTCATCATCAATGACTGCCAACACCGCGAAGAGGCGCAGCCAGACGTTATGTGCCTTCAAAGGGAAATATTAAACGGCCACTGAAGAGTAGTCATACAAACACACACACCAAACGAAACGTGAATCTAAGTGAGCTTCTAGCTCTAACGAGGGATTTATCAGAAATACAGCTGGGAGGGAGGCCGGAGTGGCTAAGTTGGTTAAGCTTCCGACTCTTGATTGTGGCTCGTGTCATGACTCCAGGAGCTCGCTAAGGAAGGGAGGGAGGGAAAGAAGGAGAGAGAGAGAGAAAGGAAGAAAAGAAAAGAAAAGAAAAGAAGAGAAAAGAAAAGAAAAGAAAAGAAAAGAAAAGAAAAGAAAAGAAAAGAAAAGAAAAGAAAAAAGAAAAAAGGAGAGGAAGGGAGGGAGGGAGAGAAAGAAATATAGCGGGGAGAAGAACGCATATAATAACAATACGGGGACACAACGAGCAAAACTCATTCCGTAAGTGGCACCACAGGACAACCAACCCAGTTGTTTCAACAGATAAATTGCCAGAGAAGCAAAAGGGAGGGAGAGAGTACCTACAGATTAAGAGAGACCTAAGAGACATATCCACAGCGTATGGACCTTATATGGGTCCTGATTTGAACCAACTGTGACGAAAACATTCATGAGACAACCCGAGGAATCCGAACAGCGGATATTTGCCGATATGAAAGCATTACTGTTTGTTTTCGTAGGGGTGACGGTGGTTAAAAAAAATCCCTTTTTTTTTTTTGAGTCATATACTAAAATATTTGCAAAAGAAACGGTTGATGTCTGGAATGTGCTTCAAAGTATCTGGGATGAGGGCGGAAGGGAAGGAAGGAGAGACAGAATGAGATCAGCCAAGAGGTGGGATTGCTGGAGGTGGGTGGTGGGTAGCTGGGGGTTACTGTACCGTAGACCCCACGCCTGTGTACAAAGATTTTCATGATAAAAGTGAGAACGCCCCCTTTTTCCCTCCCTCCTCTCAAGGGTATTGGCTTGGTCTGCCCACCCACTGCTGGCAGCGCTGGGGCAAGCCTGGGTCGTAGACTTGAGGTCCATCTCAGCATGTACACACACATGCACACGCACACACACACACACACACACACACACGCACATCCATTTCCACAGCAACCAGTGATGGGAGCAAACAGCCTCCAGTATGCTCCTGTCCACATGAGGATCAGGTCAGGCTGCTCCTGTCACGCCATGCCACTGAAGCTGCTCCCTTCAGAGAACTGCCACTCACACATCTTCACAGGGGGCACCCTCCCCACATCTGCCTGCTCGCACCCCTTCCCTATCACTTTTGTCCCTCCTTCCCCGCCCCCCCACCCCGAGGGAGCAGAGGCCAGTTCGCAGACAGAACAGGACCTGGGGGCGTCCCGAGGGCACGCTCAACCGGCTGAGCTTCCGACGGCTCAGGCCGTGATCTCGCAGTTTACGAGTTCGAGCCTCACGTCGGGCTCGCTGCTGTCAGCCTAGAGCCTGCTTCAGATCCTCTGTCCCCCTCTCTCGCCCCTCCCCCGCTTGTGCCCTCTCAAAAATAAACAACCACTTAAAAAAAAGAAGAACAGGACCCTGAATCAGATCCAGACTTAAATTCTGCCTTCATCACTTAATGGCAGGACCTTTAGCCTCCCTGAGCCTCAGTCTTCTCACCCGTAAAATGGGCAGAATGTGACTTCGACTAGCTCAACAAACCTTTCTTATGGGGAGACAGTGGCAAAAAGGACCCTGGCTCCACCTCATGGAACCAGACAGAGGTAAAAGGCAGTCTTAAAAAGAGTAGAAGTGCAGTAAATAAAGCCACTACTTAGGAATATCCTAAGTCTCCAGCTTATTTTTGGTTAACCAGAGGATCCAACTATGCCAGACACAGAATAATTTTATTTAACTTAATGCTCGCATTTCCATGAGATAAGTACTATTATTCTCATTTTATGCAAGAAGCAACTAGGGAAAGAGAGGCGAGCCACCTTGCTCAAGGCTGTACCGTGGGTATATGGCCCTGTCCTCTCTGCTGGGTCCTCTGCTGTGATCGAGCTTTGAAAATGCAGCAGCCGAGTTAGGAAATCAGGGCTTCAAGGAGACCGACAGGCTCTCCCCAGGTCAAACTCCATTTTGCAAATGAGGAAATAGTGGCCCAGAGAGGCCAAGTAACTTGTTCCAGACCACACAGCAAGTCAGCTTGCTAAGCCTGTAGTTTAGGTTGCTTGGGGAGAAGACGCAAGGAAGCCCCCACGTGGTGAGCGAAGCTGGCTCTTCTGACCCACTTAATCCCGTCCCAGAGGAGGGGGACCAACAATCCTGGGATTCCTGGGGAACAGGATCTTTAGAAGCTGACACCAAGCAGGTCATAGGCAATCAGGATGAGTCGGTCACGCTATATCGCAGAGCAAGGCGCCTAAAGGGGTGTTTTCGAGGACCCGGCGCCCTGGGGCGGAGCTGGCTGAGGACAACCATCCACAAGGCCCCCATGGAATCAAGGGGTCCTGCTCGCGGTCCCCGGGGGGGGGTACCACCCACACATCATCACCCCGCTCCCTTCCTTGCCGACTCTGATCTCTTCTCCTCCAACAGAGTGTTGTACCTCAGCTGTAAATCTAATTACCCCACGTCCCAGTTTATAAACCTAAATGGTTTCTCATTGTTGCCATTGCTTTAGGACAAACTCTTAACTCTGCCGGCCCAGAGGCGCCCCGCGCTGGGTTTGCCTGGCCCAGCTGGGCCGTCCAGAAGCCTCCAGAAGGCTGCATGCTACGCGAAGCAGGACCAGGATAGTCAGGGCCCTTCTAATTGCAGGGGCCCCAACCCACACACCCCTTTCCTAGCACCCACCCGTCCCTGCACAGAATCAACCCCGGTTGTAATCACACGGCTAGTTGCGTGATTAAGTCATCAGGAATACCTAGTCTCCCCTGCCCCCGGCTGGACTGTCAGGCCGCAGAAGCAGGGACTGTTAGGAGATGTTCACTTCTGT